GTGGTAGGTAGGCTGTTTCTACTCTCTAAGTCCTCTTCTTTCCTTTTTTCATCCCCCTCATGCACTCCGTTCTTTGAACGGGAGGCGGGACTTAGCGATACGGTCGATCCGGCAAGGGAACCTGTGATAGTGCAGGGCACCCCTTGTCCGGGGGTCACCGGTAGGTGGCAACTTTCTTAGACATAACTATAGTCACAGGTAACCTGGGTGCAGAACCCTACGAGCCCGACGCCCGTCCAAGAGGGGGGGGCGGGGTCACTGCTCCCAGGCAGGAGCCCTGTGTTATAGGTAGGATTAGATGTAATCAAGAAGATGACAACAAGCATTAGAATAAAACATAGAGATAAGGGACACTCTATTGGAAGGGGAAAAGTGGCAGAAATCACTTACAACAAACTGCAAGTCCCACTAACAAGAATATTCAGCACCAATGAAGGTTTTAAAGTAATCTGTAAAGATGACTTTGATTCAGATAAAATCCTTTCAAAAGAAGCAAGAGATATATTTTACAATGAAGGCCTTATTGTTGTCATGCCACCAGAACAAAAAGCAAAAAGATCAGTTTTCGTTCGTCAAGTCGACCAAGAGATCGGGAGGAAGACATCGGAAGACCTGAAAGATGAACTGGAACGCCAAAATAGGTGGATGAAGATTGAAGAAGTCATTAAGATAAAGGACTATACTCATGTTTTTAAGATTACTTTTGAAGAAGTGTCAATGGCTGAGAAAGTTTTACAACAGGGCTTTCTAATATTCAACATGTCAGTCACACCACATCAAATAAAGAAGGAGACATTCATCAGTCTGCAAACTTGCTTCTCCTGCTACAAATATGAAGAACACACAACGAGAGACTGTCCGGAAAAAGAAAAAAAGTACTGCTCAGATTGTGCAGGCGACGACCATACCTACACTGAATGTAAGAATACACATGTTGGCTGTCTCAACTGTAAGAGAAACGGGAATGTATACATAGGACATAGGACGTTAGCAATGGCATGCCCAATAAAAAAAAACACATGATAAAGTACAAGGAACAAGAAACAAGGAAAAAGGAACAAGACAAGAAGGATACAACATACGTCGAAATAGCAAAGAGAGCGGTCCAAGAGGCTCATAGACCAGAATCCACCATATTAAACCTAAGTGAGCCAATACATGATAAGGTAATGATTAGTATGATCCATGCACATTTGCACAATATCATTGCACTCGGATCATACAATGAGGAATTAAGGACAATGTTTAAATTGAATAACCTACCAGAGATGATATTTCCAGAGAATCCACAATCCGAAAAACTATTTCAGGCAACATATGCAAGCGAACTGAGAGAAAGACTACATCTAGACGAACAAAGGTTTGAGCAAGGAGCAACAGCTGATACACAAGGAACACAAGCGACTGATAGAGATCCCAGACAAATGACTAGAAGTGACAAAGAGAAGATAGAAATAACAAAAGGACAGACTATAAGACAAAGGAGTAGGAGGAGAGAAGATAAGATGGAAGCTGATCACAATATACAACCTGAATCTGCTGAAGAAATTGGATTAAAAGTTATCACTACAACAAAACATGGAACCCCAACATCGAGACCAACAGGAGGGACAATAGTAAAAAACTGTGAAGGAGGGATATACAAGTGGACATATCAAGAAAAATCCCTAAGTGAAGATTATGTCTGGTCACTAATTACTACGGACAAACTAAAGATTACGACCAATGACTTTAAAATAGTAGACCCGTCAGAGTTTAGAAGAGTCAGAAGCGGGAAACAGGATGATAGGTCTCCACTTCAACAGTTACAATCCAAGTATAAGAAATAATGGACAATAGACAAACAGTAAGAACTTTAAGAATAATACAACACAACGTAAGACACTGGAAGACCGAGAGAATTAACCTAAGTAATATATATCAAGAAATTGACCCTGACATTATACTAATAAACAGTCACGGTGAGACAGAAAACAACAACATAAAACTCTTTAACTATTATGTAAACCAAAGAAATAAATCGGGCGAGAAAAATGACGGAGTAGCGATAGCGGTTAAAAGAAACTTAAAATTTAAACTAATTGATGACTTCCAGGATGAATTTCTAGCAATAAAAATAAATACAACTCAAGGAGACGTAATTATTGCTACTACTTATCTCCCACCGAGATGACCCTACTTACCTATAGAAGACCTATTAAAATTGGCTAACAATAGTCATCCGATGTACATCTTAGGAGACTTTAACGCCAGACACAGGATTTTTGACAATACAAATAATAACGCCGTGGGAAACGCCCTTAATCAATTAATAAACCTAGGGAAAATCAATCATCTAGGTCCTAACTTTCCAACCTGGAGAAATCACAATACACAATCGACACCAGACAAAATATTTACCAACAACAAAGCCTTTTTCAATTACCATATAAAACAAGGACCTCTTACAGGCAGTGACCATCTGCCAATTATACTAACACTGTCAACAAGCCCCATACAGATACCTCAATAAAAAGAGATCGAAAATGAGTAAAACAGGCTACAGCCTTAAAGACGACTTAAGTAATCACCACTCGATTAACCTACAAGGAAACAACAGAAGATATAGACTCAGAAATGGACAGACTGCACTCAGCAATAAAAACATCTATAAATCAAAAACACACTCCTACTTCACACTTTAGAACATTACCCAACAACAGACTACCAGAATAGTTAAATTAATCTGCAGACCTATTACAATGAAATAAACAGGTATATGGAAAGACACGGCAGTAAATATGGCTATATAACATACAGATAGCACTATGATAAAACAAGAGACGCATGTAAGGAAGCAAACAATAAAAAATAGAACGATATTATAATGGCGGCTGACAAGACTAAAGACACAAAAACATTTTGGACTTCCATAAACAAGATGATGGGGCACAACAAGCAAAAAACACTATACATTAAAGACCAAAATGGAACAAAACTGCACGAGGAAAATGAACAAGAGTCAGCATTCAAAAGGGAATGGGTAAAAGTTTTTAAAATATCAGATGAGGAAAATGAAGATTTTGATAGTGAACACGAAGAAAGGATAGAAGACGAAATGGGAAGACACATACATAGAATCACCCCAAGGCAATATATAGACTATAACTTATTACCTAATAATCAAATAATAACCATGGGAGAAATGATGCACTGTCTGAAGAAGTTTAAGGAAAAAGCCCCTGGGCTCACAGGTATTACACGAAATATGATCATGAATCTACCTGAAAACATTTTAAAAACACTATTAAACATTTATAACGCATGCTTAATAACTGGTTACTTTCCAGACAAACTAAAATATGCTAAAATGATATTTATTCCTAAGGAGGGTAAGGACAATAAGGAAATATTAAACTACAGGCCAATATCTTTATTAGAAATTACTGGGAAACTATTGGAAAAAATATTAAATTCAAGACTTATAGCCTTTTTAACACAACATGGGAAAACTAACAACAGACAACATGGATTTATGCCCAATAGAAATACCCTAACTGCAATAGCTACAATAACGGAAATAATTGCAATAGAAAAAAGTAAGGGTAACCAGATCAATATAATTTTATGGGATGTTTCTAAGGCTTTTGATAAAGTTTGGCATTTAGGCTTGAAATATAAAATATTAAAACTGGGACTTAACGAATACTTGCTAAGAATATTGTGTAACTATTTAGATGATAGGAGAGCACAAATTCAAATTGGAAACTTTTTGGGAACTATGTTTAATCTTGAGAGTGGAGTAACTCAAGGAGGATGCCTTTCTCCAACACTATATACAATTTATACTTCAGACACACCTCAACCTACCCCCTTTAGCGAATATGTAATGTTTGCTGATGATATTACTCAAATAGTATCATACCCAGGAAAATCAACTCAATTTATGGCACTCTACACGGTAAGAGCGATAAAAAACATAAATGATTTTGAGAAAAAATGGAAAATCAGGACAAATAAGAACAAATTCAAGATAATACTAATAGCCAAGATTAAAACAAGTCCAGTAATAGTCGACCAGGAACTATACCCATACGACACTGAAGGTAGGATGCT